AGATTCTCTAGTCATCTCAAACAGTAAGACACACCTCATACCCTTGGATTCTCATGTCATCTCAAACAGTAATACACATCTCATACCCTTAGATTCTCATGTCATCTCAAACAGTAAGACACACCTCATACCCTTAGATTCTCATATCATCTCAAACAGTAAGACACACCTCATACCCTTAGATTCTCATGTCATCTCAAACAGTAAGACACACCTCATACCGTTAGATTCTCATGTCATCTCAAACAGTAAGACACACCTCATACCCTTAGATTCTCATGTTTTCTTGAATATTTGCACTTTTTTTAATTAATAATAACTATGCAAAATTTTAGCATCATAAATCCATTATTAAGAAAACTAACCAACAGATTAAACTACTATAAAAGTACTTAGCTAAGTATCTTATTCTAAATACAAAATAATTTCAGCATTGGAGCACGGATTAACTACAGAGATAAAGAGACTTACGTAAGGTGCTCCCACCCCAAGTTCCATACCAGTACCAGTTCCAAAAGGAATTAAAGGAACCTGAAACTCACTGCATAGTCTAGTGACAGCACTGACTTGTTCAGTATTGGACACCCAAAGAACAACATCTGGTGGATATGATCTGAAATACAAATCACCATAATATAAATTTTTATTTTATTTTATAGAAAAGTAGAAAATAAAGTAGATTTTAAAAAGAAAATTTATTCCACATAAATATTATGGTAAATGTGTTGTTGTTTTTTGTTTTTTTTGCAGTAATAACCATGAACTCAGCAATTTGAAAACTTTGTGTTACTTTGATCAAACCTAATACATGTTGGTCATTTGGATGCAAATATTTTGTTTCTAAAAATATTTTACTTATAAAACTGGAAAAAAAACAAACACATATTAGAAAAATGAAGAAATTATTCATATAGACATTAATATAAACAAAACTACATACACATATGTAGTCTGCAGATAAAATTATAATCTTAACAGTTTTTATGGAAGAAATAGTTCACGATGTTCTAGTTGAACAGTTTCTTAAGCCACATGCAAGGAGTATGCTGTTGTGTGTAGCAGGGCAAGTAAGATTTTAGATATTATGTAAAAAAATATTGAATACGAGTCTAAAAAAGTTCATAATTTCATTGCATAGGTGACTGGTTAGATTAAATTTGAAGTACTGTGTTCAGTCTTGTCTTCATTACTTCAGAAAGAACACTGAATTGCAGGAAATGCTTCAGAGTAGGTCTACTAGGATGATACCTGGAATGGAAAGATTATCATACAAGGACAGGTTTAAGATCTCCAAAATTATTTTCTCTTGAAAAAAGAAGAGTTAGAGACGATTTGGTTGAGGTCTTTAAGATTGTTGAGAGAAGTGACAGTATAGATGCATTATCTTTTTTTCATATTTAATGGTGAGAATGGTAGGACTAGAGCACTTAGTCCTTGGAATTGGTTGTCTTCAGATGTGGTGGATGCAGTAAGTTTAAGGGAAAACACAGGCTGGACTCCAGTTAAGACAGTTTTACTTTTACAACAGAGTGACTGGCTTATGGGATGAGGTGCTACTGGCAACAGTGGAGGCTATAACTTTAGAGAGTTAAAGAAAGGAAAAAATGATTTCCCGAGGCACAAGTTTAAATGTTTACTTTTCTCAAGGTTGGGTGTGTAAAGACAACCATAAATGGTCCCTTTCTGTTTCCAAGTTATGTCATATAAATATCTTTATCAGTATATTAACATAAAAGTCCATCACTATCTAGCCTCTTGATCATCTTCTTTACTACGTCATGCAGCCAGAGGTTTAAACTAATTCCAGAATGATACCTGAATACTAATTGGATCTGCCTTTATAACCTTAACTAAATTTACTCCATGCTACTTATACTATACTGAAATTTTGCTAGTCTCAGTTCTCTTTACCAATGTAGCCACCCAATATCTGTAAATTTCATTAAAACTAAGCCTTTCACAGTTTACAGATTAAACTGATGATAAATCTAACAGTAAAATTACTATTAATCAATATTAATATCATTCATTACAAGTACAACAACTACAGTTGTACATCATGCTTAGTTACAAATAGTTAGTGACAATAAATTGTAAACAATTTTCCAAAGTACTAAATACTTAGCAGCAAGCAAATAATAAATTATTGACGAATAAGAAAAATTCTGCTTTAGTGAGCAAATATTTTGAATATTTATATTATTTATTTTGTAATTAAATCTTCCATATTTATTTTAGCATATTTTGGGTTAACACAAAGGTAATACGTAATTCAAGTTTCCTAATGAAATATACATAACAAAGTTTTTTATTTACAAACTTATTTAGGTTCTACTCTGTTTTCGTGTCTCTCAATTATAACTGCTAATATTGCACATAATCACCGATTAATTAATGATTCTAAGATATCTCAGAAGTTACTTAAAACATCCAACTGAAAATTCGTAAGGTTCAAAGTAAAAACTTGTAAGAAAAAAGAATGTAATGAACATGTAAATATTTTTATCTCTTCCATTTTTGATAGATTATTTTTTAATGAGCGTACATGACTGCCTTATTGTATGTTTGTTGCTACTACTATTATTCAGACTAGTCAGCAGTCTTGGTGATTACAGCAACAACACGATCCATTTAGTTATGTGTGTTAATGCATGTAATTACACTGACCATGATTTATTGTAAATTATGCTATTTTCTATTAGAGTAAAAATAACTTACTTTTAAGAATTACTATTTCACAACTATTTAAAGTATTCTTAAAGTTTATTGATAGTAATTTTAAAGCATTGTGCAATAAATATAACTGCCTATAGGAATTTCCATTTTGTTTAAGAAACAACAATCAAGAAAAGTAGCAAGGAAGGTAAGGAAATCATACTTACAGGCTTAAATGAGTTCTAAGAAAGTGTTAAAAATACAAATTCTGAATCTTTCAAGGATCACTCACTTATCTCATTTAAACATATTTCAATACCTATCCATCATTAAAAACTTGCAATTATGAAAAATGACATCCATTAAATAGACAAGAGAGATTAAATCAAATGACTCCCAATGTTTAGAATTCAAATGAATTCTCCTAAACTTTACCCACGAAAAAAGACTGAAACTATATGTGTGAAAAAATTCATTTCACTTACTTGTAAGGACCTTCATCTTTCCCGTGGTGTTCCCGCACAGCTGTGGAAGTACTAACATTACCTGAGCCCAAAAGAGATTCAAACTTCTTGATGACAATTTCAAGATTATCCTTGAAAAAAAAAAGAAACCAAAAATGTGAATACAGTATTACATTTACATATTCTGTATGCTTTGCTAAAATCTAAAAACAGTTTATATACTGGGTAAACAATAAAGCTGAATCTCAAAAATATGGTTATAGTACAGAGAACATTTCAAAAAAGATGAAAAGAGAATTAAGATAATGTTATGACATCCATGACAACTAGCTTAAAAAGCAGATGTTAAACTGTATCATTTTAGCTGGTTTAAAACCAACTTTCAATCCATGGACAAATTCTCTTCCTCATTTTTGGAACGGAACTAATGAATTTAAACAGACATTCACAATATACTAACATATACCCACTATTGGCTTTTAAAGTTACAAATTGAGCTGAATTTGATTTAAGATTTGAAAAAGAAAAGAGAGAGACAGAGAGAAAAAAAAATAGCTTCCAGATCAAGACTTGAATTCAGATTCTCTTGCACACAAAGTTCTAACATTTCACCAACTGATAATCTGGTTCAGATCCAAGTATTTTCCATCATATCATCACAAAGAATGAGTTATTTTTTTCATCAGAGTTTACAGTTATCTTCATTACAGAAATGCCTATATTGTTGGCAGTCAGCCTTCCAGAGAAGATAAAATCCACTTACAGCATCATATATGCCTAATAAAACACTGAATTTTATAATCATCCAAAATAAATACCTTTAACATTAATCCACAACTAGGCTTTAAAGATTACGCCATAGCTTTTAATCAAAGAAAAATTATCATGGACTATATATACTAAAAAGCTACAATATCAATGCATGGATAAGAGGTAATTTTTACAAACCAAATTTTATGATAAATAATAAACTGCATGAAAGCAGCACTGCATTTCTAAAATGCTGATATAACAAGACCTACCAATTCAATTAAACTACAAGTATTTTTTAACTTAATGAAAAAAGTTCCAAGCAGCCTCTTTCAATAAAAACCAAGATGAGTATTGCCAAAAACCGGGGGACCAAAACTCATTGTCGAACTCGCTCAGTGAGGGTGTTATAATGTAACATTCAATCCTATTGTTAGTTGGTCAGCAGTTCAAAAGTAGGAATGTTGGTAGATAGCTTTAGAATCTTTGTCATAAACAAACAAACTTTGAGGTTTCTTCTTATTTATTCCCTATAACTTTTACAACTTTGTATGATAGTTAGAATTATCAAAAGGTTTATTTTACAAAATAAATTGATTTTTATTCTAATTTTAATGAACATAAAATTTAAGGACAACAAAGAATCTATTGGTCCATATAGGCTGTCCCATTCACTAAAAAAAAATCTAACACTCAAATCCAGCCCTTATCATTTAAATATTTATCAAGCTTTCCCTAAAACACCCTTAACTTTACTGCACCCACCATATCTGAAGGCAACCTATTCCAAAGGTTAACCATCCTGTTAGAAAAATAAAACTTTCTTAGCTGAAGCAGGGGTCACACGACAGGGTAAAGTACCTTTAAACATCACATTCAAAGTTCTGATGTTAATACAGCAAAATTTGAGTTGTTTCATTAATCCAATCAAATGTTTGAGATACTACATGTTTATTCATATTTTCCCAACTCAGTATGCAGAATATAATCTTGAGCCAACCAGCACACTCAATCCAATGGAACCACCAAAGTACTTCAATACCAATTACATGCATCCATTATTATTGAAAGTTCATGTTCAAATAAAATAAAAAAGTTGGCTGTATATTTTATTGATAAAGATAATTGGCTTAATTATTATATGTGTTAATGATGATCGGGAATGGTGTCGTGTCTTTTTGCAGCACACATATTTGTTATTGGATTTCGTCACAGGAGGCAATCATTAATAATGCAAGCTGTGTACTATATACTGGTATCATTTTAAATTGTCTTTACTCATTAATAAACAAATAATCAAACCAAGCTTCTATATTACTGCATTACTGCATTTGCTCAAGAGATTTTGGCATTGCTCAAGTTGTAAAGATTCAGAAAAAACAATCCATATGCTCATGGGCATGAAAATCATGTTAACCCAACTTATCATGACTGGCCTTCAAGATTTAAGTTAAAAAAATAAAGACTAAAATTAAAATGAAGGAACAAGCAATGAATTTAGAAAATTGTTTTGCATCATTTGGAATGAAGATAGATTATTTTTATTTTAAATATAAGGAAATAAATAAAATAGTTTCTTAGATTCTTAGTTTTTTAGTAATAAGGCAAGTAGAATTTTAAGTTTTATACATAAAAATACTGAGTAAAAGTTGAAGGAGATTATCAGTTACTTTATAAGATGTTGGTTAAAAATCATTTAGAATATGGTGTTCAGCTTTGATCATGTTATTAAAGAAATAATGGTAAATTGCTGAAGAGGATTCAGAGAAGAGCTACAAGAATGATTCCAGATTTTGAGGGATTACCATACAATGACAGCTTTAAATCTTGAGAAATTTTCAATATAGAGGTAGATTGAGGTTTTTATTAATGTTTCAGACTTACATGTACCCAGATGTTGTTTTATAAGGAAAAGAAAATGTCAAAAAGTCCAGAAAACACAAGCTGATACCAGGGAAAAATCTGTACAAATCCAATTAAGGCAGTATTACTTTTCTATAAGGGTGGTTAGCTTATAGAACAGTTAGTCTTCAGGTATGGCAGGATCTACAATAATATAAAGAAGTGAAAGAGGAATGAATGAGTATTTTGATTAGAGGTCTTTGATATAGCTTTTAGTCGATAACATATAGGCAACATGGAGCCATTTGGTCCTTTGAGACCTTTGTCCCTTAACCAATCCACTCACTCAAATAGTGCAAATAAAACCCACACTTCTTCTGTAAATCAAAAATTACCCTCCTACATTTTTATAAGGTGCCAGTCTCCACTACCACCAAAGGCAACTCATTCATAAGCTATTTGCTCTGTCAAGAGACAGGGTTTTCTTAACTGGGATTTATCTTCTTTTTTTCTTTTTTCTACAAATCTTAAATTTGTGTCTTCTCATCCTATTCTTTAGACTAATATTCAATATTTCAGTAAATAAATAAATAAAATCCTGTTTTTTCCCTTCCACTGGCAATGCCAACAGAACATTGGTTAGTTTGCTTAATTAAGACTGATAAACCAAAACACCAAACTGGCCCTCTTATTATCCCCCAGAAAGAAAAATTGAAATACTGACATTAACTTTAAATTTAACTCATCAATAAACACAATTTCAACTTTAATAGGGTGGAGTTTCAACCATAGAACTTCGAAAAAAAAAGTATTTTCTTTTAAGTCTTCCGAAATAACTCCTTCCATTGCACTATATTATACGTGCGTGTATATATCATATATATATATATATATATATATATAAATATAACTTAAGTTATAAGCTCAG